GCCGCTGGGGAGGGCGGCGGCCGGGGGTCCCCCGGAGGGCCCGGGCGGGGCGGGGCGAGCGCGGGGCTCGGGTCCGCCCAGCAGCCGGTAGGAGCCCTCGCGGGTCCGGAACTGGCTCTTGATCTCGTGCGGCGGCTGCGGCGGGGCCGGACCTCCGTCGGGGGCCGGGGCGGGAGGAGCCAGCGCCGCCGCCATCTTCCCGCCGGGCCGGGGCCGCCGCCTCCTGCTACGGCTGCTGCCGGAAGTGGCGACCCCTCGCTCACCTCGCCGCGCCCGGAAGCTGCGCGGCGGAGCCCGGGCAACGCCGACGGGAGAGGACGTTGCTCGGCAACGGGGGCGGGCCCTAGCGAGAAGCCCTCCCTGGAGGCCCGAGCGACCGGCGAGGCCCTGGCAACCGCGGAGGGAGGATGCGGCCCTTGGCGACGCGGCCTCGCCTGCTGCCCGGGCCCGCGGCGGGGGAGGGCGGAGGGCCCCCTTTCCCGCAAGAGCAACCCGGGGGGCGTAAGCGGTGGGTGAAGCCCCGGGGAGGGAGGAGCTGCAGCCTAGCAACAGGGGCACGGCTATTCTATTTAAATCCCCTTTTTGTTTGTTCCAGTGGAAATATCGAATCCACAAAGCTTGGTCACAGTGAACCTGAGGGGAAAATTCAGATTGTTTTGAGTTTGCCTCATGTCTTCGGGAGATGACTCATAGGACAGAAATGGGGTTTTTTAAAAAATGGGGGTGCTGCAGAAGGCACTGGCCCAACATGTCTGGTGAAGCAAGCAGCACACCGCCAGGATGATAAACACTGTGGGTGGGAGGGGGGTACAGCAGCCCACACTTGCAAGGCCAATGCCCTTCGGAAGTGCTGGACTGCAGTGTCCGTCATTTATTTGCTTTATATGCCACCTTTTTTTTCTTGCAAAGGACTCACATTGGCTTACACCACTCCCGCCGGCTGTCAGTCTTTTCCTCACACCCACCCTGTGAGGTAGGTTGGGCCGAGAGCCTGTGCCTGGCCCAGAGTCACCCAGGTGGCTCCATGGCTGAGTGGGGACCGGAGCCCCGATCGCCCGAGTCCCAGTCCCACGCTCTTAACCACTCCACCACACTGCCTCTCTACCCTTCCTGTTAACAGAAGCAGAGCAGAAAGGGGGGCTTTGCAATAGGGAGGCAGCCTGTGTGAACCTGAAGAGTCCCGGACCAGGATTCCAGGCTAAAAGGTAAGAGGCAAGTATCTTCCTTCTAGCACACCTCTGGGGGTGTGGGACTACGACTCCCATCATTCCTGGCAACCCAAAGGAGCACTAGGCTGGGGAAAAGCTGCCTGGGCTACCCTAAGCCACCTCCCTCCCAGTGTTATGAATAGAACCATTTTGCCTCCAGGGAAAAAACAAGCAGGTTTTCGGGGCCATAGATGCCCTGGCTGCCCTCTTTGTAAAAGTATACCAGACGAGCGTGTTTGGGTGTGCGCATGTTGAGGATGCAAAACACAAGGAGCAGCAGATAGGAGCTGATTTTTTTCTTTAATTTAGAAATCTAATCTTTGCCATTTCTCTTTCTGGCCCCTTCCCCAGTTGGATCAAGTCTCTTTAAGCTGACTCTTTCTTTGCGCCGTCTCATCTTCTGAACCATCAGCTGTCTGCCTGCTGCTCTTCATCCGTGCTGGGTTTTGGCTGCTCCTCCGACGGGCTGGGTGGCTTGGTGTCCGCTGGCTGGCTGTCAGCTGCAGGTTGCTCTGGAGAGGGCGCTGCTTGGCTGACAGCTGGTGGCTTGCTTGCTGATCCCTCATCTGAGCTGCTGCTGGTGGCGGCACCTTCCTTGCTCTGTGGCTCCTGGGGAAAGAGCAAAGAACGAGTGCCAGGGTGTAGAAACCCCAAATCGTGTCCCAGCCTAAATGTGGCCGCCGGCAAAGTGGAGAGACCTCAGGAGGCAAGCTGCTGTCCTAGGAATTAATCTGGCTTCCAAGTGCATAATGGCTTAGGCCAGATGCGGTTTGGCTGCTACATCTAAGTGGCCAAAACCTCAGACAGAAGAGCAATACCTCTACAGGGGTAACAGTAGATGGAGTCGTCTACCTTCGTGGGCCAGGGCCCCTCCAGACTGGAATCCAGCAGGGAGCTTTCTGCACCAAAGCTCTCATCTTCCTCCTGCATGCTGATGAAGATCGTGGGCGTCTCTGCCTCAGGAACCTCCTCCCGCGAGTCCCCTGACTCCTCTGCAGGAAGAGTGGTGGGGGTGGGGGTGGAGGGGGCTGGAGCTGCCGGACGAGGCTGCTGTTGCTTCAGCTTCAGCTTCTGCTCCTCCTCCAGCTGGCGCTTGAGAGCCTTTTCCTGTGCCAGGCGCAAGGCAATCATATCCTGGGACACACGAGGCAGGAGGGGCTGAGGTTCCATGTCTTCCTGTGATTGGAACAGAACTCCATCAGACCTGCAAAGCCCACTCCCACTGGAAAATGTCAGGTCACATCCAGCGGAGGAGGCGGGGGCAGCACATGCAGGGGACTCCAAGGCCTGTCCTCCACTGCGCCCACCCCGCTGGGTTGAACCCTGCCCACGTTGCACTCTTTAGTTCTGTTCTCTTTGCAGAAGCATTGCAACATACATGCCATGAATGCTACTGGCACGAAGTCTGGGCTAGCCTGTTCTGCTCACAAATGCCACAGGTAAATGATACGGGGATGTGAGGAGTTAGTCCAGGTCGTACTCTTCCTCTTTTCCCAAACTGGGGGTTTTACAAAAAGTGATCTATTGTGAGAAAGGAGACTCTTCAGGCAGAAAAAGAAAAGCACCTTATGGTTTAAACAAGAGCCTCTTTAGGCATGCTTTCGTCAACTCTGCTCTTAGGGCAAGTTCCTGAATGCCTCTTAAGTCCATGAAGGCCAGAACCACCATCAGCTTTAAAAAAGAAAAGCTGAGAGGCAGAGAGAGTTTGCTCTTCAGAGTTTGGCATCTTAACCCTGGAGAAGTTAAAATGGAGCCATCTTAGCGATGTGCTAACCTCTCTCTCTCTTCTCAGGCCTTTGGTCCTGGGGGGGGGCAGTGCCCCTCGCCTCCTCTGGTGGCTGCAACTCCTTCCCGTCAACGTCCTGCTTGTTGCTGGCTTCCAGGATCGCCATGGTGGAATTCGGGACGTGGGCTTGCTGGGGAAGAAAAAGCAGAGAGGAGTGTCATGCCGTGAGTGTATCACAGAAGCTCAGATAGCGTCCTAGAGGAAGGGCTGTGTCTGTCAGGGGCCGCAGTGGCCTGTTGTTGGGAAAGAACCTAGAGCAAGGAATTTGTCATCAACTACCAGCTCAGACCGTCACACACACCGCTGCGTGTCTTTACATACTGAACCTTACCAGTAGATGTTTCGATTGTCAGTCACTCTGGGAGACAAGCTTGGCAAAAAGTGGGTTGCTTGGGTGCAACAGCTTTGCTCAGGCGGCTGCTCTCTGCCCATGCCCATCCCGAAAACTCCAGCACTTCAGCTCTTGCCTGACAGCCCCATTGCCAGTACGATGGCACCACCCACTCCCTCTCTTCGGACCTCACTGATTTTCCGTGGGCTCCCCATGGCCCTGCTTCTCTTCCCCTGGTCCTTCAGGAACTGCCGCTTTCATCCCTTGGTGACAGTCACAACCCTCCCCTCCTTTCTTGCTTCCTCAAGCTACCTTCCTGCTCTGAAACAAAATGCACGTTTGTAGCGAAGCCAAAGTACACGTCATGGAAGTAATTCCATGCCACTCCCCGGCCTCCATCCTGCTCTCTCCTCTTGCCTCCGGAGTTTCCTTGTCATTCCTGCTCTTTGGGAAGTGCCAGCTGCCCAAAGGGCACCCTATGAAATCATCAGCCCAAACTCCATACAAGTGTGCCGACTCTTCTTCAAGCCCTGCCCCTTAACGCCTGAGCCGGTCAGAAGGAAACAAGCAGGCACGAAACGTTAAACGGGGAAGCCCGCTGCAGGCGCACCAGGAGTTGCATGGCGCAGATCTCCACTGGGCCTGAATCATCTCTCCCCCCGCACCCCCCGCTCGCTGCAGGGCCAAGCATGCAACAGCCCAGCTACACTTTCGCCAGCACCTGATGCGGGGTGAAGGAGCGGACATGGGCCAGCAGAGGCTCCCGCAGCTCCGGACACTTCTCAAAGACAGCGCTGAGCTGCTGCGGTGGCAGCTGGAGGATAACCTGGAAGGACTGGGGCTTGGTGCGCTGGCAGCACTTGATGAAGCCCTCCCAGACCTTGGGGTACTTCCACACCTGGAGAGGAAGCATAGCGTTAAAGCATGGCACCTGCAGCCAGAACTGTCTGTCTTCTGCCCCTCCAGCGAAGATACAGGAATGGCCTTGCTGGATCAGGTCAAAGGCCCTTTGGTTGGGCCTTTGCTTCCAGCAGTGGGCAACCAAATCCTCTGAACAGTTCGCCAAGTGAGAATGGCATTCCCCCACTATTGGGCCCCTGCACTAATATTCAGCACATCTGCACACATCTGTCTATCATGGCCAAGAGGCACTGATGGATTTATGCTCCGCGAGTCCTCCTTTAAGGCCACCACCACCAGCTGTCAGCCGCACCTCTCGCTTGTGCGCCGCCCCCACCCGCTGGAGGATGTCTGTGTCTGCCACCCAGGAGAGTGCCAGACCGCTCCACCAGCGCACCTGCTTTGGAGAGTTCACCTGCCAGCCCAGGCAGGCGCTGGGTGCGTAACAGGAAGGATGCTGGGAATGTGACGACGAGGACCCAGGAAGGCCACCTTTCTCACCTGCTTCAGGATGAGGCGGGAAAGGATGTTCATGACAAAGCCGCCCAGGCGCGGGTACATGGTCAGCGACTGGATCACCGTCCGCATGAGGAGCATGGGCAGGGGGTTCTGCTCCATGAGCTGCTGCATGACCACGGCCAGCACTTCCGACGTGTACACGTTGCGCTCGGCAAAGCACAGGTTGGTGGCTGCGGGCAGGAGGTGGGCACAGTCAGCCCGCTGCAGGGCTCAGAGCAGCTGCCGCGAGCTGCGCGGGGCGGGGGGGGGGGATACCGAAGGCACAGAGGTCCAAAGCGCCAGTCCCGCTGGGTAGAAGAGGACTTTGACCTCCTCGCTTCTGAGCCAAGGTACAGGATCAGGATGTGAAATAAACCTTAGGACCTGCCTTACTGTCATCTCCAAGCTACAAGAGGAAACTAGTTCGGATACAAGAACGTCCTCTATGGATGGAGCTTCTTGGATAACACCCATGGAAAAAGATGTGGAGAAATTTAGACCATCCTCACAAGGAGTCGGACACCCCAAAACTCATGGAACAGCGGCAAGGCCGGAGAACTGGACGAGGCGGCCCAGTTTCAATCTGTGGTGGCCCTGGAGTTTTGTCCACACGCAGAAGAACGGACCAAGGGAGAGAGAGAGACAGACATGGAGGCAGGCGGCCTACCTTTGATAATGGACTTCATGTCGCACTTGGTGGAATCGATGTTGTGGAGGGCAATCAGCAGCTCCCCAGGATTCAGGGGAGAAACGGCAGAGTTGCCTTCACCTGCAGGAAGAGGCAAGCAGTCGCTGCTGCTGAAGACTCCCCGGCTATCCCAGGAGACCCGCCACCAGCAGCACGGCCTGCCATGCCCCTCGGCCAATCGCTTCCGAGTCCGTTTTACAGCTCTGCTGAGCACTCACAGGCAAGCCAGTGAGTTTAGTTCTTGCCTTGCCTCCTTTTCCCAGCCTTGGGACACACTGTCAGTAGTTGCTGAGGAGACCTCAACAGAGCCCTTAGAAACCCAGGCGCTGCTCAGGGTCTAGATCCTTACCGTGCTGGGTTCCCAGCAGACGGTTGAAAACCTCCTTCACCACTATGGGGTTCAGCTTGATGAGCTTTGGGAGAGCCTGAATCACCTCTTTCTGGAAAGGGGAAGACGACAAAGGATGGGCAAAAATTTGCATTACACAGGACAAAGCTCTGCACATGCATATTTCAACCCTGCTCCTAATAATCCCTTACTATATTTTCTTTTTTTTACAGCTGCTCTCATACAGAGTCAATATTTCCACAGCAGCTCAGACTACTAACACTTTGCCAGTGGCTGTCCATTTAATTCCAAATAACCTTCCAGGCCCTACTGAAAATGTAAACTGAAAAGGCTGAGAGTGACCAAGCAGCCTCGTAAGGGCAGGGTTAGGGTTACAGATCATTCTACTGCTGTTCACGAAGTACCTTTTCCAAGCCATTGAGCACAGGGATGAGGAATCGAACGTCCGGGAGCCTCTTGTTGTACAGATCCCGAACTCGCTTCACTAGCTCTGGAGACGGAGGAACTAGGAGGAGGAAATGTTAGAGGACAGCCGGGCAACACGCTGGGATGACTTCCAAACAAAGCAACCCTCCCTGAGTAGCTCACAATCTACTCCAGCCTTCCCCACAAATGTTTTGGACCATGGCATCCAGAATTTCTGGCTATTTGCCATGCTATGATTAGGGCTGATGGGAACTGAAACAGAAAAATATCTGGAGAGTGCCAGGTTGGGGAAGAATGGCCAGGCCCAGCCATTTTTATCGAGAGTGATCACTTGCGTGGAATTACAGCAAGCGCAAGCAGCAACTAAACAGCTGAAGCGGAAGCCCTGCTTGTACCTTTATCGGTTAGGCTGTGCAGGCAACGAGTCACCAGGGTCTCCGCACCTTTCGGGCAGTTTTTAACCAGCTTGAGCAGTTCCTGGGAATTCATGCCCATCCCGCGGATCTGAAGGAGATCAGAGAAAGTGAGCAGAGGGAGAATGCAGGAGAGAGTAGAATTTAGGAAAGTGATGGAGCCTGAAAATAAGAGCTCGGACACCAAGGAGCTCCAGGCCACTCACCGGCTGCTCAATAACCCGTAGGACAGTGCGCTTGATGTCGGCAATCGCCTCGGTGTACACAGAGGCCAGCTCATGGATCAGCTTGTGGTTCTGGGGGAGGAGGGCCAGGTAGAGGTAGAGGCAGTGCTTTATGGTCTCCTCTGTCCAGGGAGCAGCCACCTCTGCAAGGCGAGAGCGGTTTGGAAAGGAAGCAGTCAGGCACCTGGCTTCCAGAGAACAGGTGGGGCAGGCACAATTTGGAGAACGCGGAAGACCAAGCGGCAAGGGGGAGAACAGAAATGTGGGGAAAGAGGCAGACACGACCTCCGCCCAGACTGAGCACTCCTTCCCAGACTGCCATTGCTTTAAGCGAGCAAAAACCCATCGACTGATAACTTAAAAGAAGCAAGTACGCAGTACTCTTTCCATCTCATCCATGAAAAATGCATTTCAGGAGGAACCCCGGATGAAACAGTGATCTGCTAAACAGGCCTGAGGAAGATGGCAACAGCTGCTGAAGTGCCTGTTGCATGCATAACACAAAGAAGCAGCAATATGCATCGAAATGAGGTGCGTTTCCGGCATGGTGCAAGAGAGGGAGGGTGGGGAGCCGGGCCACACAGGAGAAAGCTCTGTCTGGCCTAATCAAATTACCTGTATCTTTATCAGCCCCAAACAGAACAGAGGGAGGGTTGGGGTGGACCAGGAGCTGCAAGTAATTCAGTGCAAACTTCTCCACATATTCTCGCAGCTGGTCTTTCTCATACATCCGCTTAATGAACAGAAGGGCTTGCTGGCGAACCTGAGAGGGAGGCAGAGAGGCACTGAAAATCTGTTCTTCAAAATCTCAGCAGGAACTTTCAAGAAGAACGGATTTTCTTAAAACCCTTCAAATATGAGAACTGAACACTGGGTGTGTTATTATTTCTATACCACTCAATAGCTGACGCTCTCCAAGTGGCTTACAAGAGTGGTTTTTTCAATATGGGCAAATTCCATTTGGGGAATACTGCTGCTGAGGAGGAAAGATAAGCACCAAAGAAGTTTGGAAATGAAGCTGCTCAGAAAAGTGACGTGAGGAGGTCAAAGCTGCTACAGTCTTCAGGCTCCTCACAGGGACCACCCTCCATTGCTCAGGACTAGGCCTGGCCCTACGAAGGCTCTCGGTCGGCGTGCGATTCAGCCCCTCTTGAAAGACAAACAAGAGTCTCCCTCTTCTCTTTTACATAGGAGCAGAGTGTCCAAAAAGGGCTTCAAAGCACAATGAAGTCCAATGGCCACAGCCCACAACCAGTCTGTTTACTTCAGCTGCTGCTCTTGGCAAGAATCAGACCATGAAAGCGCAATCAAATCCAACCCGATTTGCAAATTAGAGCAAGCAGTTAAAAACTCCGGCAGAAAAGAGGAAATGGCCCTGGCAAATAAGCAGCTTTTCAAGTGGTGCCAAGAAGGCAGTGAAAGGCGAGTGTCTCTGCCAGGTTCCCAGGCCCGGGTGCCAAAACCAAGGAGCTTTTCTTCAGTCATCACACACCTTGCTTCAGATGGTGAAGAGACAGAGCTGGGCCTCTGCACTCGAACCTAACAACCAGGAGCACTCGTGGGAGAGCAGGGCAGTCCTTCAGGTACCCTGGTCAGGGAGGAGTTTGTGCCTTGCCTTTGCAGCTGACGCCTGCATTTAGGCTGGCCGGGGCCCACAGCGCAATCCAGGACTCACCTTGTCCTTCTCGTGAGAGCTGAGGTCCAGGAGGACGTGCAGGTACTCAAACTGCCTCGATGGGCGCTTGAAGATCAGGTCTCGAAGGGTCGACATGCCCAAGTACGTCCGGCTCTGCAAGACGGTTACAGAGGAGATCTGAGTAGGCACCGTGTGAACTTAAAATGGAGGATGGCCCTCAAGGAAGCTGCCCGGCTTAGGGCCACCTGCACTCCTAGCAGGCCCTTAAATGCTTACTTGTTCAGCTATGTGGGGGAAAAGGCCAGGGGAGACCCACCCCCTAAATCGGAGGAAGGTATTTTTGCAGTTGTTTCAATGGGAGAAAAACTGAAGATTGGGGGGACACTGGGGAGAACAACCCTCCTATGGGGCGTGTGTGCTCAAAGATCAGAATGAGGAAAGGTGCATTCCTGGAGCCTGTGGCTGGCATCATCTGAGGAATGTACCTCATCTTCACAGTACTTCCGGATCACTTCCAGGGCACTCTCCGTGATTAGCGGGGCTTCAAGGACCACTTTTGTGAAGATCCTACAGAGCAAGAAGGAAAACAGGCTTGGCCCAACCCAAGAGCGATTTTCCGGCCCCGGTGCCTCCTGCACGTCTGCGGGGCCAGCGCCTTACCCATCCTTCTGGTCAGGCTTCTCTTGAAGGCCGGAGAGCAGCCCAATGAGGCACTCATCGTAGTTGCCGAGCGAGCCAGAGGGGTACTGGCTCAGGTAGGCGTTGTACTCCTGGTAGAGCCAGGCAAAGGCCAGGTCCAGCCGGTTGCGGATGTCATCCAGGATGAAGGTCAGGACCTCTCTCTTCAGAGGGACCTCGAACTGGGTCACCAGGGACGACAGGATCTTCACCCGGGCCTGCAGGGGGAACCGCAGGGGTGAGGCACCCTGCTTGATGTCCCAAGCTCCCAATATACAAAACCAAACAGAGAGAGAGCAGAAATAATACACCGATGAAAAGCGTCGCAACAAGAACAGTGGAATGGAGCAGTGGGATTCAAAGCCAGGGAAACCTGAGTAAGAGAAAGGCTCTGAGAGGGGTTTAACGTTTGCCAACACTCTGGCCCCTCCCACCACGTGAAGAAGGGGGTGCCAGAGAGCGGGTGCCACTACCAAGAAGGCCTGCTTGTGTGTCACTGCCCAGCATACACACCCACATACTGTTGCTTGGGGGTGACCTGTACAGGTTCCTTGGAAAACCTCCGGTTGATTTCACGCACAGAGGGGTGAACATCCCAAGCCAGATCAGGCACCCTGCAGGACGTGGCTCCAAAGCGCCCACCTGAGCAGCCCCGCTGCAGGCCACCGCCTTCTCCGAGCGCAGGATCCGCTGGACAGCCGCCAGCTTCAGCTTGTCCTTCTGGGCATCCGTGAGAGGCTTGATCACATCGCTCAGGCGGAAAATCTTCTTGCGGCCACTGGCACCAGCCATCCTGGAAGGAGGCGGACAGTGGAAAGCAGGGGAGGGAAGTGAAACCAGGGAAGGACGAGCGCTGCTTTTGCAAATGAATGACGTGGGCATTTCAACCACCGTGCTGCCAGTTTCAGGCATTCATCGCAGACAGTCCCAGAATACGGCACCCTGACTGCTCATCCACTGAACTTGTGCTGGGAAAGCTCTTAACGGAAGTGATTTCCATTGTCCACGGAAACACTCGTCCCCCCAGGGATGAAGAGGCCTTGCTGGCTCTCACCTGGGCTGGGTGGAAGGGATGATCGGTTCTGGGCGCCGCTTGGCCTGTGGGGCTCCCGACTCCGTGGCACTGGGGGAGGTGGAGCTCTGCGCACCCACCACCGAGATAGCCTGCCCCGGGTTGAGCGCGGAGATGCGCCGCTTGATCAGCACGCTCTCCGGCTTGGACATTTTCTCTTCTTTCATTGCCTCCTTGGCCTGTTTGATTTGCTCCACGCCTAGAGAGAAAGTGCCTGTTGCAGTCTGACAAAACAGCACCACCCATCCTACAGAGCTTGCCACTTTTCTGGCTTTCTATACACACAGGCAATTCTCACGTTATTCAAGTAAAAACTTTAGGGGAAACTAAACACTGCAAATATTTACTCGCATACTATGTGCTCCGATTTCTTCTTTGGGCCTGGAAATAACATGCAAGAATTAATCTGCCAGAGCACAAGAGCTTGAGGATAGACTCAGCTCAGCTCTGCTTTTGAGACTGCTTGTAACCTTTCCACACAAAGCTGGGTGCATTTGTGGCGGGAGTGAGAGGAACCCTGCAGGGGCCCCCGGGCCGGCCTACCTGGTCCCAGCCCAGCTGCTGTCATCTGGGTGGCCATGAGCCGGGCAAGGTGCTTGATCTGGCCCTCAGTGCCAGCCGATTCCACGGGCGTGTAGGTAGCTTGGAAAGAGGCTGGCATGTTTTCCGGCAGGTATACCATGCTGATGAGGACCTGGAGGGCCAAGGGCGCAGAACAGAAAAAATGAGGAGGGTCGCAATTGTCGCCGCCAAGCAGGAAGACAGGTTCTTTTCCCCAGGTGCTCCAAGTACACCTTCCGTTCTCTTGCCACTGCCCTGTCGACGCTCTCGCCCACCCCAAAAGCAAAGTGTTCTGGCCCTCCCTGCCCGGAAGAATTTCCCCTCCCTCCTCAGCAAAGCACCCAGCCAAGGTTATGCAAATAGATGTTATCCCGCCTATGCCCAGGAGAACGTACCAGGTTGGCCACGTTATCTGGAGTCAGGAGGGGCTGCAGAAACTCGGCTGTTATGTCGGTGTCTGACTGTGGGCTGACTTGCATGGAAGGCTTGGGAGCCGGCACGGCCACCTGCTCCAGGTCTTTATCCTCGTCATCCTCTCCGAGGGGCGGTTCTGTAGCCAAGATGAGAGAGAGAGAGAGAAGGAGAGAGGCGGGGTGCGGTTGCCTGGTTAGCGTAGCATTTGGGGAAAAGCCTGCCTCTGAAATAGGAAAGGAAGCCTCAGGTCTGCGAAGTGTACTCTTCTGCGATCGCAGGCTTGGGCCCTCGGTCCCCACCTCATTTTGGCTGCTCGCTCCTGCTTTCAAGTAACCTTCCCCAAGGCAGCACCCTCCAGGCGTGTGGGGTTACAACTTCTACCATCCCCACCCAGCAGGGGCTTACACCTGGAGGCTGTCAGCTTGGGGAAGCTCTTTTGCAAGCCCCTCATTTTCCTGCTCACCAATCTTCATTTTCTTCAAGGCAGGGTCGCTTTCGTCCCGTGGGCGCTTGCGCAACTCCTTCAGGTTGGGCATGTTGCGTGTGATTTCGGCCTGCTGGGTCCCCAGGTCCATCAGCAGGGTGGTGATCTGGGCCTGGAACTCCACGGACGCGGGGTGCTTCAAGACACTCAGCAGGTGGAGTTTGAGGTTCTTCCGCACGCTGCTAACCTGGGACTTGGCCAGTGTTGGAGGGAGGTTGGCTGTTGCGAAGAAAACACAGCAAGTGGGGCAGGGAGCGATATTTGGAATGAGCCCAAGCTCCTCTTGGGGAGAAGCATTCTGAGCAATGGGGTTAGAGGCGAGAGCACGCCCTCACCTCCATCCGCAAGACCCCATCATGTGGGGTCTGGCTAACCTGGCCAATGAACAGGACAATCCCTTGTGCACCTACTCAGAAGCAAGCGCCACTGAATTCAAAGGGACTTGCTTCCAGATCCAGCCATGCAAAAAGAAGTTACATTGATTAGGCCCTGCAGCTGCAACTCAAGATGTAGCTTCAAAGACGGACTTCTTTTTAAAAGCACAACTTACACACTCTACTCTGAAACTAATTCTTCACGCCAGCATAGCCTTGGTAGGGTCCCAGACAGAACACGGGAAAATTGCAGGATTATCTCGGGACACAGGGAGGTTTCTTGCTCCTGAAGAACGGGCGTAAACTGTTTCTCTTGATTCCCACAACCTGCAGGACGGCTCGGGGCCCGGTCGGCCTCGGCAGGCCTCCTGGGTGCGCCAACTTCAGCGGGCTTACCGTGCAGGGTCTCGTAGGCCTGGATCACCTCCGACATGAACATGGGGCGCTGGCGGGCGATGGAGGCCAGTGACCCCAGCGCTGCCGTCAGATTGATACTGGAGATGGCCGGGTGCACCATGAACTTCAGCAGCTGTGCCAGCGCCGCCTTCCCTTCTTCCCACAAGGCACCTGAGGGGGCAGAATAGGACAAGCAGGTGCGGCAGGTGAGGCGGGGTCAGTAGCAACACTGGTACCTGAAGTGCCTCTGCTTTCGCACACCCCACCAGCAGTGGCCTGCGGGAGGAGGAGGGGGCATACTGTATTTGATGTAGGCGTGGTCTGTGGGAACGCGGTCCAGGCTGATGTCGTTCTTGTGCCGCTTGGGCACCTCGGAGTCAGGCATGCGAGGCGAAAGGGTGATGATGAGCGCCTCCACGAACTTGATGGCGTGGGTGCGGATCCCGTCGTTGTCCGAGTCCAGCAGCTGGATGATCTCGCTGGCCATGGCCGACACCATTTCCCAGCAGGCCTCCTGCATGTCGTTGATCACGCGGGACTTCACCATCCACTGTGCAGAGAGATGGAGCAGGGGTCCTTCAGAGGCACAGGCACTCCTGGACGGCGGGGAAGGCCCGCTGCCTCGTGCGCGGAGTGGGAAGCAGGGGCAACCGTGCTTTCCTGGCACATTCGCCATCTGTCCCGGGAGACCCTGGTGTGCCTGCTTCCAAGACGTGACAGCAGTCCTTTAGGAAGGAAGGACTCCCTGCCCACTGCAGGCTCCAGAGCGGGGCAGGACGCTGCATGCACACCTCAGGCCAGGCCTTCGGAAAGGCCACCCCGAGTGGTGCCCCCTGGTGGTGGCTGAGCGTGCACGCCCTTCTCCCGCTCGCCGGTGGGGGACCAGCTAGCGGCTCACCTGCAGCGCCACCTTGTACAGCTGGGTCATGGCGAGGATGGCCTTCTTCACCACGTTGACGTTCTCGTCCCTCAGCAGCATGTTGAGGTTGGCAATGAGCTTCAGCAGCAGTTCGGTGTCCCGTTTGCTGGAAGCAAAGGGGGTGGGTTCAAAGAGAGGGGAGGACATGGCGCCACCCAGAAGGCGGGCTAACGGGGCACCCCATGGCGGGGCGGGAGCACCCTAGGTGCCGGGCTGCGGGGCATCGTCTTCCAAGCCTCCGCAGCAGAAAGGGACAGGCTGAGCAGCGAGGTGATGAATGGAGCTGCCAAGCAGCGCCTGCCTTACCAGGCTTCCTCTATGAATCCAATGACAAACTTCCGCACTTCGACAGACTTGTCTGCCTGAAAGGCAATGATCTCCTGTGGAGTAAAGTACAGAGAAGGGGACAGGTGGTTACACCTCTCGGACTGCAGCAGGCGCTTCCACGCACAGGCAGAGGGACTCCCTTCACAATCCCGAGCTGGGCCAAGCGACCTCGCCAAGAACAGAACAAGGTATGGAGCACTGTTTCCAGTCCTTACGGGTGAGGGTAGGAAGAAAGCGGAGGCCGTGCGGCACATTTCTAGCTCGGGTACGATGCATCCCCCGCAAGCGATACTCACATCCAGGAAATTATCCAGCAGTGTGGGGTCTTTGTTGATAATCAATTCCTGGACCTGAAAAGGAAAGAAAACAGATGTTATGCCAGGTGTGTTCACCTCTCTTTCCCTTCCCTGCTTGGCTGTATCTGTAGGCTAACCAGCCACCCCATAAGCTCTAGCCATCCAGTCTAACCAAGGTGACCAGCCATGCGCTCTTCTTCACAACGACCCCAAGGACTAGTTAGGTGAGGGCAGAATGCTTTACATGGTATAAAGCAGCTTACAGTGCCATCGCTTTGCAGTCACATATAAAAAATGTAACACAGACATAAGGGTAAGTCCACAATGCTACACATTTTTCCAGCCGGTGACTTTGCTGGATGCAAAGCTCAGCCAAGGAATCCTGGCCGCTAAGGGCCCAAGGACAAGGAGGCAGGAGCAGCCTCACTAGGCCAGGCAACCTCTGTAGACACGCGCTCTGTAGACACGCGCTGCTTTGCTCTCCACCCACCTGGCAGGAAATAAATCCTCTTTTTAGAAAGATTCCAGGCCATGCTGTACTAAAACCCTATAATTACTGGAAACCGACTTCTGGTTTGCAAGCCCCATCTCCTTCCACCCCCATTAAAATGCTGAAAAGCAAGATAAAAGACTGGTAGAATTTTGCACATGGCAGAAGTTTCCCTCGACATAGACGGCTCAGGCCAAAACAAAGGAAGCAACTTCACTGACCTGCTTCAGAATTGTGATTTTAGATTCGTTGCTGATTAAGGCAGCCTGATTTAACAAATCCACAACCTGTTGATTTGTTTAAAGAATCCAAGTCAGATACAAGGCAGAGGCATTTTTGACAAGCATATAACAATCTATACATACCAACAGAAATACAGACTTTTCAGTATTGACTATTAGGAAATGGGATGGGGAACTAATAAGAACCGTAAAAACAAGGGACACCCTGAACTCTTATTTCCAAACATCAGATTTGTTTTCTTGCAAAGGCCGGGTTTCTTCTGCCCTACAAGGATACTTGTCTTTCCTTGTGTGGACAGAAATAGCAAGAGGAAGCATGGGGAACAGAAGAACATATGGACACGGGAAAGCACCTAGAGGGTGAGAAGATGGGCCGGAAAAGAAAAGGCCCCAACTTGCTTCCTTCCACCCACCCAAATGCTCAACAAAGGTGTTGCCGCACGCATGCTCCCATCCACAGCTCGCCAAAGTAGCAATGCCAAGTCACCACCAACCTGCCTTGCCCCGGGGGCAGGGGGGGCGGGGGGTCCTTACCCGTTCCGAGGTAGTCATGGTGTCTGTGCCAGTGGTCTCCTCCCCAGCGAAGAACTGGGATGCGATGCTCATGCGCGAGAGGCCGGGGTCTCCCACGCCGCTTCCGCTGGCCATGGCTGCTCACACTCAGCCGGTTCAGCAGGCAGAATCCAGCTGCTGAGAGCGAGGCCTGAAAAGGAGGCACACCGTGTGATGCCAGGGCAAGCTGTACCTCGACGGGGAAACCGTTCCTCGTGCCTGGAAGCGCAAGGTTATGTTGAGAGAGCTTCGTTGCTCGAGCCGGTTAAGGCAAAGGATCTGTAGTTCTATTTCCCCTCTCATTATCATAGTGAGCTCTAGTTCTGCCCCATTCAGAAGCCATCTGTAACAATAACATGGGAAGGTAAGACTGGGAAGGGCTGAGTAATACCTCTGAGGGGAACCTGCATAGTAGATATTACTGTAGGAAGCTTGTGGGTTGCAAAGAATGCCTCTTCAGGCAAAACAACAAACAATTTTCCTGTTGAAAACCTGAAAACGAACTAGGTATGGAAACTCGAATCCGTCCTTAGCTGATCTCCACATGGCCCCGGCTCCATGCCGGGTTCTCCAGCTGCCCACAGGGCTCTTCTTCCCTTCTGCGAATGTCTGGCAAGACATTCGTTTTCATGCTTAGTCCTCCCCATCTTCCACATGATGGACGGATAATAATATACTGACTCGCCCTTATAGCCGCCTTCTCTGAGGCCGACGGGCGTTTATAGCCCGACGCAACTGAAGGGCCAGGCTGGGGAAGGCAGCTTTACCAGAGCGTGGCCAGGATCGCAGCTAAACACGTAAGAAAAGCCCTGCTGGATCGGGCCAGCAGCCCACCTAGTCCAGCACTCTGTTCGCACAGTGGCCGGCCAGCCGCACAGAGAACCACAAGAACCCGCAACTGGCGTACTCGGCGCACTGCCTCTAGCAGTGGGGAGAGCAAGTGGCCATCGGGCCTAGTAGTCATAGCAGCCCCTCCTCCATGGATCGCTCCGACGCCGCACCACATGGGGTGCAAGCGGCTTCCACAGTTCGGCTGCGCACTAACAGCACCAAAACCAAGCTGCCGGTCTTGCTGCGGTCTTGCGTTTCCATTGTTGGCCGCTGCCCAAGGTGACACAGGGGTAAAAGGGGGGTGCACGCAAGTCAGGCGTGATAACATCACCTCCCCGGGCCTGCCCCCCACTGCCCTGCCCGTCAGCCCGTGTTGCCCCCCACTCGCCAAAGGGCCCCCAGACACACACCGGCCTCTCCCGCGATACCCCTCAAGCACTGCCCCCACCCTCCCTGTTGCCATGGCAACCTCTCCACTCGGGACCCCAAGCCCCCTTCCGTTCAGGGCTACCGCCAGGCCCAGCGCGCGCCTCCCCGGACTTTCCGCTTCACGGTAGGCCTTTCTTACTGACAAAGCCACCGTGCCCTATTCCCCTCATCAGCGAAGGTAACGTAGCTACCTTATCCGTTCTCTTCTTTTAGCCGGGCGCCCGCAAGCCCACCATGTCGGGAAACGCAAGGCCCTCTAAATTTTATTTTTGTTCCTCAGTGCGCATGCGCGGCAGCAAAGCCCCTCGGGTAATGTAGTTCATTTCCTCCTACCGGTAGTCAAGAGCGCACTGTATTCCGGGTAAAAGAATTTTCAAGACGCGATCGTGACGCAGCGCACCGTCAGCCTATCAAGAATGGGCGGTGCTGGCAAAGGTTTGTGGATGATGTAGTTCTTTCGAGCAGACGGCTGCTGTGCGAGGCCGCGAGGGATGGCGGGAAATGGAGTCCTTCAAGATGTTTCAGTATCGCCCTCCATTTGAACAGCATTTGGAGGATTTTGAGTATTAACGCTGGGATTTTATGCACTCTTTTTTAAACCGGGGAGTAACCCACATTTGTTCTTTTGCAGGGTTTTTGTAATTGTAAGTATTGTTTTATTGGAAAGGGAAACGACAGGTTGTTGTGATTAGAGTACTTGGATGCACTGGGGCTTACTTATGAGTAAACATGGAAAGCGCTGCACACGTGCATGCGTGAGACTTGCAAATGCAGGGGAAAAGCCGCATCACTCATGGCCGTTCCTTCTTTCCTTGATCCTGGATTCCGCGTTAGACTGGCCTTTTTAAAACAGGTGTTGATTATAGTAATTATTATGCCATAAGCACTCCTCCTAGTTTATTTTTATCGTCTGTTAAGATGTAATTCTATGCATAGTTAGACAGAAAAAGTCCCGCAGTTCGCTGCATTCCCCAGCCAAGCATATTTTCTCAATGCGCATGAAATGCACCCTAAGGAGATTTTGTGTGCATAGGTTTTTCATTTTATTTATTTATTTAAAACTTTTATATCCCGTCTGCTACTGAGATCTTGGAATGGTCTTACAATAAACAGGGTGGAGCACAGCATCCAAATCAGTCGCTATACAATAAAACCCCACATTAAAATCACACTCAAACCTTAAACCTAGTTGACTTTGGTCCTAGTGTATAACAGTAATAAGAAATAAAATATTAAAGGAAAGATAGTTGGCAACCCCATCTTTTTTTGGTCTGTGTGCCCAGCAGTGGAAAGAACCACAACAGTACCAAGGCATGGTGAATGACATAGCAGGTCCCTCCACCTTGAGATGGGCCCAGGTACCCTGCGATGCCGTCTTCACAGAGAGCAGGGGCAGAAATTGATTTCTGGGCAATTGCACAACAGTGGGAGTCCTGGCCCCTGGATTCCTCGGAGAATCATGAACAAGCCGGCTACTTTTGTGGACGCAGGGTGGCCTTCTGCAGGGGCAAGCCTCTGGTGGAAGTCTGTCCTTTGAAAGGCTGCCCTGCCCAACTCTGGTTTAAAGATAAAAATGACCCATTAATTAGCAACTGAACAGGAGGTTGGACAGGTACACCTGGTGTGGGAGCCTGGGTAAAGTCTTCCCCACTAGCGTGTGAGTACTCTATTTCTATTTAAATTACCAGCATTATTTTAAATGTACCTCTGTGTGCATAAATTAGCGCACGCAACGTTTCTGCTAACTGCCGCCCTATTTTTTGATAGTTCGTAAGTGGCCAAGAAATCACCAGCTTGGTTAGCGAGTCGAGTCAAGGAAGCCATCCAGGGATGCTCTGGACGAGGAGGATAGAAAGGACCACAAGATTGTGCAAGGGAGATGCCACTAGTAAGACCAAGGCCAGCCACGAGGAATTCTGTGACTATCAAGCAGGAAAGCGGCTAAGGAAGCAGTTGAACTGGGGGGTGAAGATGGAACTAGAGGAGCACCGGGGTTGGTGGGAGGGGGAGGTCGCAGAGAAGCCAGATCAGTTCTTTTCGTCAGTCTTCCCGGCAGAGGCTGTGGAGCAGATCCCAGTCGCAGATCTTATGTCTTCTGGAAGGAAGTCCGAGAAATTAGGGCAGGTGGGGGTGACAAGGGATGAAATACTCGACCTTCCTGACAAACTGAATGCCAGCAAATCATCCAATCCAGACAGTGTCCATCCTAGAGTCGTTAAAGAATTCAGGCATGAGATGGCTGGCTTTCTTATCAAAATATTTAATATGGCCATCAAAACTGCCCTTGTACCAGAGATTTGATTCCTTCGAGGGGCTCTTTGGATTACTCAGAACTAACCTGCCTTTCCTATTCTTTTTTTATTGAACAGTTTCTGAAGGTGCAGGATTTGCCCGAGAGGCAACTTCCCCCAAGGGTTTCTTGGGTTTCTCTGCCTGAAAAACACTCTTTTTCTTCTGCACATTTGACCAGTGAGTCAGCTGGACTTTAACATGCATGTTTGCCCACTTTAATCTGGTTTCTCAGTAGTCTTATTGTAATGGGGCGCAGCTAGGATTGTGTTACAGGCCGCTCCTCCTCGAGGGATTAGATGGGGAGGAGGTAATTAGTTAATTGTGCCTTCTTTTCCTGGTTTCTTTTGTGGCTCTTCTGGATCCTTAATCCTGGACCCGGAGGCTGGATCAGGCTTTCTCCTGACAACGCTGCGGGAACCAGGGAACGCAGAGGTAATGGAGGCCTCTGACGAAATACGATTCGGGGTGACAAGGACACTGAGAGGAGGAGGAGGAGGAGGAGGAGAAGTATGCGTTCCCTGGTTCCCGCAGCGTTGTCAGGAGAAAGCCTGATCCAG